ATTCCAATAAGAATCAGGTGATCGTTTGCTTGCTCTACCAGAGTAACCCAGAAGTTAAGTTCTCTGACTCTGCTCAACATACCATTTTGTCGAGCATATACAGAGATTTCTGATAGCGTTGTCTCATAAACGCGTTTGAGGGTTTCTTCTTCTTTAGCGGATGGTTGCTGCTGGCAACAGCCGCGTCCTTGCTACAGGTCGGCTTTTCTTCCGGTGTGCTATGGCTGGCACTACCGGTACTAAAGTTATCTATTTGCAAAACGGCGGTACTATGGTTGGCACCTTCCGTTCTGCTGCTGCTAACAGCCTTTCCTTCTGAGGTACATTGGCTGGCACCACCAGTGGAAATCGCTGCGGGTTTTGGGGTTTCTTAGGAGATTTCAGCAGTCTTTCCTCCTCTGACAGCGTCGCATCTTCCCCGAGTGTCTTTTGCTGCTGTTCTGTTGTTGTTGTTTATGTTTTGTGTTTTTATTTTAGTTCTCCATATATGGTCCCACGAGTAATCCGGAAGGGGTTCGTCACTCGTCCGCAGCTCCGGGATGCGTTGAAAAGGCGCTTCTACAACCGACCTTGCCCGAGCATCGGAGGGGATCGTTCGCGACCAGCCATTTTTAACTGCCCGCTGGCTATTCATCCGTCAGCACGGTTGCCTACACATCTTGGCTTGGGTAGTGTTGGTACGGTAATCCTAACATTTCAACCTTCAGAAGTACCACAACACTCCAGCTCGGATTGTTAAGGAATATTGCCGAAGGCTACAATACCAGCCTTCCCTCTTAGTTTATGGAGGCATGACGATTCACGCTGTGAATTATACCATGACACCATTTAAGCCCCGTCGCCACGGCAAGATGACCAACCCTACCTAACATTGTGCCGTATGTAGTTCATCTCTACGGCATTCCACCTAAACTGCGAACCGTATGCAATAATTGGACGAATCACCGCCTTATACATCCATAGCATAAGATCAGGTCGTAGGTACCACACAGCATTTTCTTGCAGGAATACAGAGCACAATAGGCCTTTTCTACTCAGTGCTCTGTGTTCATTTTCCTGTTTGTTTACGGTGTGAGAAGGACTCCCAAATACTTAGCGTAAGGGGAAAGAGAAAGAGTATGCCCATTTAAGGAAGGTAGGGTAAAATTAGGAATCTTTCTCCTAGTAGCGAATAATAGTTATTCGGTATTCGAGCCCGCAGCTGTTTGAAGAATTGTGGAAATCCTGTCATTGCATATTTCACGGGGAAAAACTTTGTTATCAGATTATTAGATGTTAAAAAATTTACCGGTTACAAGAGTACACTAATGCGAAAAGGGTTTACAAATTTACAGGAACTTTATTTACCGGTTACAAAATTTTTATTATCAGCGCAGAATAGATCTGTTAGAAGAATGTTGTTTAGTACGCAAAGCCACAGCAGCGGCGACAGTACCCCGCCTTGAGGAGTCTCCCGTTTTGGATGACTGATGACTACGCTGGTGCCTAGCTTAGCGGTTACAATCCTTGTACGAAGCATGGTAGAGATCCAGTTTACCAGGATATTCTCAATCCGCAGGTTTCTGAGTAACTGCTCTATCGCCTCCAGGCTAAGGTTGTAGAACGCCCCTTCTATGTCCAGGAAGGCCGCCAACGTATATTGCTTGTTTTCCAGCGATGACTCTACCTTGTGTATGACCTCATGGAGCGCAGATTCTGTGGAACGCCCTTTTAGGCAAGCATGCTGTGCAGTAGACAATGCTTCGTTGCCTAGTTTTGAACGAATATGCATGTCCAGTAGCCGCTCGAAAGTTTTCAGTACAAAAGACGAGAGACTGATGGGTCCGAAGTCTTTAGGCACCATGTGCCCTCTCATGTCTACGTTGGGAATGAAAACTACTTTAACACTTTTCCAAGTAGACAGAACATAGTTGAGATTTGTACGGAAAGAAGCTGTTAATTGCCCTTCAATCTTCTCCCGCGTGATAATTTCGTTGGCGACATTAATAGATGTTGCCGCTACGTTGCTATCTACCCCTGAGACATTGTTTGGGTTACAGCCTGGAAAATGGGTACGAAGAAGGAGTTCTAATGTCCCCTTAGAACTATTGGTCCATCCTCCATCTTCCTTTTTTAGGAAGGAAGGATTGCTGTGTTCCTTGGATAGGATCCTCCCCATTCTGGCGGATCCTTTCGTTGATTCTATAGAAAAGCGGAAATCCCTACAGGATTCTTATTTTGCTTTGCGAATTACCTTCTTGAAAATTCTCAAGCTCTTTTTATCTTCAGGCCGAAGCTTACGGGTCAGGAGACTTTAAAGGCCGAGCCCATAGCCTATACGAATTTGTTCCACTGGGTTTTTATATCTTCCACAGTCGTTAAATTACTAAAGTTATATTTCCCACGTTTGTTACTGACCACACTGGCGAACCGCTGCCAGTTTGCTCTCTTTGGGTTACGAAAAGGAAGGGAAACATTCTGGCTAACCGACAAGTTGAACAATATGTACCTATGATCAAAAAATTATTTCCGATCAGATACCCTCCAGTTGTCTACCTCAATGCCACCTCTACTACCACAATCGTTACTTCGTGTTATATCAAGCAATTCTTACCACTCCCTAAAGGTATTAGTCCAAGGAAAATTGAGCGTTGGAGTGCTACCCCGATTACAAATAATTAGGAGTTGCAATCGCATCCGACAAGTAGATTATCCGATTGAAAATTCTCTACTACACTACGAACCACCTCCGGCGGTGCGTCCTCGTTGTGTGGCATGTAGCACGAGGCGATGACCATGCTTCAACTACCAGCCGCTTCGAGTCTCATAGGGATGAGAAAAGTATGGTATTGAGATTTAACCATAACACAAGGTCTAGGCTTACCGTCCGATTTCTTGTAGAAAACCTCGTATTTATTCAGGTGCAGCCCCTTAAACTCGGTGTTCCATACCCAGGGCTCCTGAATGATTGCGCTGTGGAAATCTTCCTCCACCAGGAAGACGGAAAGGTTGTCCGTGGCCAGCTTCGAGTGCTGGAGGTTAATCTGGACAACCTTCAGACCAATTTTCAGTTCGAGTCAGCAGTTGGGTCGGCGAGCAGCATGCCTTCCAGCAGCTTATTTGCATCGTCGACCACGTCAGGCTCTTCTTATTCAGCAATGTTCGCCCGGAAAATTTCGACTTTGGCTCGCCGGATACCAAAGCGAAGGAGACAGTCGCCCTTTTCCAAAGGGTCTATGCTATCCTCACCAATGAGGAGTAAGAAGTACATGCTGGTTGTTTGTGACTCCTCAGCCTTAAGGATCACCCAGTCGTCCATCCGAATTTCGCGGTTGTGTGTACGTTGGTATTTTAGCAGCGCCCCGCTATCCATCCCCACACGTGGGAACCAGTTGCCAGCTTTCGGCCTCCCGAAAATGTTACTGGCAGTGATGAGCTTGAGCCTCAAACTCTCCCAAGCATCACTGACAGTGTTGCCATTTTAGCCGTTTTCCGGCTAGATTTAGCCGGTTGCGATAGCAAACAGCCAGAGAAATTTCGATTTAGCCGGCAGCCGATTTGTTAGCCGTTTTGCAGAAAAAAATGAGCCGTTTTTAGCCGATTTTGCTATTTGCCTTGTTTTCTTAAATTTCAAATATGTATATATGTTTCCATTTTTGACTAAGCGACCCAAAATCTGTTAGAAATGGCTACTAGCCTTATCGTGGAGAAAATTTTCATGTCAGGCAGGGTTGTATGAAATTGGGCCGATTTCGCTTATTTTTATTTTAAACGAAAAAAAAATCATTCATAAAATGTTTGTATAAATGTCTTAATTTTAAGTGTGAAGTTTTATTCGCGAACTTAGAAAATAAGAAATTGTTTCACTGTTAAGACACTTAAGATGCGTTTGTGTTTGGATATAGTGCCAACAAACAGAATAAATATTATATGTAGATATTGTCTTCCCAGATAGCGCATATTCAATTCTGCTTAAATTACAAAACATAATATTTGCGCACTCCCAAAGGTTTAAGGTAAGGGAAAAATTGATATTTTCAAGCACTATGTACACATATGTATTTTTTTAAACAACCTTTTTTGCTGAGAAATTATTTAAATTCCAAAAACCGAATGTCATCTTGAATTAAAGGAACCAACACTGAAGTAAGTCAAAATGAAAATAAAAGAGCACAAAATTCTATGTAAAGCAAAACTCTCTGGGAATCCTACGAGACATCTGCCGGTCATATGACCGGTCATCATAATTTACATTAGAATTGAAGGGATTTCTGAAAAATCTGACTAGTTCTTTTGTGTAACTATGATTTTGCATCCCTTGTCAACATATGGCCTCGGTTGATGTTAACTTAAAGTCGTTGTTTTACTGCCTTCAAATTTAAGGGAAATTTTTACAGCGTTTTTTATGTGTATTGGTTTCTATTTGAGTGTATTGAGAATCAGTTAGTCTGAAACCGCCTTGTAGGAAAGACAATAGGTTTGTTCGTCAAAAATTTCCCAAATTTTCTCTCATGTAGAGAAACTTGAAATTTTCTGTACGAACGCAAATTTGCAAGTT